GTGACGTCATGACGCAAAGACATGCTCGAATTTCCCGCGGAAACCCACCAGTACCACTGGAATTAAAATCATTATTAGGCTACAAGCTAACCGTTTTGAATCTAGCTATGGCAAGCAGATAGTTTTGACCACTGGCAGAATAAGTTTTTTTTAATATAATTATTTTGGATTATTTTTAACTTAAAAAAGTTACGGACTGGAGCTTTAAATAAACAAACTTTAACAACATAAGGGCAGATCCTTTGAGCACTGCTGATGACGCAGTGAAGTGACGCTCGAGTGATCAAGTATTCCAATGTATAAAAAAAGCTTTCATTCAATTCCTCCGTCCTCATTTTTTTCCTTGCAGCCTTCCCTCGCGTCCTGCAGGGGGTGGAGCTGAGACGCGAGGAAAGGAAGTGAGGATGCACAAATAAGAAATGAGAAGCACCCTGAGTGTCTCTCGCTCTTGAGATCGAGCACGCACACGAGCACGAGCCCTCTTGTTGCAATCTGAAACATCACCGCTAGAGGCCGCTAAAAAATACATAGAGCACCTTTAAGACTTAAGTTTAGTGTTTTATGTCTTCCTTAAAGAAACAAAACAGCCCACACGTAAACATCTTGCATACATGCAGTACATAACACCAGATGAAAGATGCAAAATCCTGCTAATTAGAACGGTTTATTAAAAGTGAATTCAGAGATAAGAGTTATGAATGATTCAAAAGGTATAGACAACTTTAAACAAGCAATGCAAATGTGTTATTAGAAAGGCAAAACAACATTACAGGCAAAGGGTGATTAAGTGTCCTTTCAGGTGGTAGTGACTGCACATATATGACACAAAGGTTTAAACATGCTGATCTTGTCAAGAGATCTTGCAACACCTTGAACAGGAAGAGATATGAGCATTCAGTTTACATTTAAGGTTACAAAATAATGACTTGAAAAAGCCAATCAGTTATCGGAGACTCAATTCTTTGCAGCTTGACACGTTCACAGCCAAACTAACCTGAACAGACTGATTTCCACGTAAAGATGGTCAGTGAGGCATGAGATCTGATGGTTGTTGAGTTCTGCTGTCCGCATCAGTCAAGGTCACTGGAACCCCAAGGCTAAACTCTCAGAAAAAGGATGTCACGTACAGGGAAGCATTGTGCAACAGTGAATGAGGCTGTGAGCACTTCATTAAGAATAAATCACAGATTAATGACTAGTGGCAAATAGAGTTTATGAGTGTTCAGTGAACATGTGCTGCCAGTTATGTAATTGCAATGTCTTTATACACAATATTGCCAAAAGATTCAAAATCATTGAATTCAAGTGTTCCAATCACTTCCATGGCCACAGTTGTATAAAATGAAAGCACTTAGGCATGCAGACTGCTTCTACAAACATTTGTGAAAGAATGGGTCGCTCTCAGGAGCTCAGTGAATTCAAAGCATAGTAGCGTGATAGGTTGCCACCTGGGCAAGAAGTCCATTCGTGAAATTCACACACTACTAAATATTCCACGGGCAACTGTTAGTGGTGTTAGAACAAAGTGGAAGCAATTAGGAACAACAGCAACTCAGCCATGAAGTGGTAGGCCACATAAAGTCACAGATGGGGTCAGCGCATGTAGAGTCAATACAGACCTCCAAACTTCGTGTGGCCTTCAGATCAGCTCAAGAACAGTGCGTAGAAAGCTTCATGGAATGGTTTTCCATTGCCGAGCAGCTGCATCCAAGCCTTACAATCACCAAGTGCAATGCAAAGCGTCGGATGCAGTGGTGTAAAGCACGCCGCCACTGGACTCTAGCGCAGTGGAGACGTGTTCTCTGGAGTACGAATCACACTTCTCTGTCTGGCAATCCGATGGAGTCTTGGTTCGCCGGTTGCCAGGAGAACGGTACTTGCCTGACTGCATTGTGCCAAGTGTAAAGTTTTGTGGAGGGGGGATTATGGTGTGGGGTTGTTTTTCAAGGGTTGGGCTTGTCCCCTTAGTTCAGGTGAAAGGAACTCTTAGGGCCCTATTTTAACGATCTGAAACGCAAGTATCAAGCGCGAAGCGCAAGTAACTTTGTGGGCGGGTCTTGGGCGCTGTTGCTATTTTACCGGCGGGATAAATGACTCTTGCGCCCAACGCAAGTTTAAAAAGGGGTTGGTCTGAAATAGCTTCATTATTCCTAGGTGTGGTTTGGGCGCACCGTGAAATAAACCAATCAGAGCGTCATCCAACATACCCTTTAAGAGCAGGTGCGCATGTTCCATGGCAGATTGTTATTATGGCGGATTTACCAGGCGCGCGCCAGGAGCGGTTCACAGGGTTCACAGCCGAGGAGACCGACGTTCTTGTCCGGGCAGTGAAAGACAGAGAAGTGACGTTGTAGGGATGGGAGAAACCCACCCAAATCAGCGTCGGTTAAACAGGCGTGGGAGGAAAAAACTACATTTTTTTTACATCTTCATGGACACCACAATGAGTCTGTGGAGGGAAAAGCCCGCTTTGCGCGGGTGCAAAATAGGAATGATACAGTACATGCGTCAGTGTACAAAGTCATTTGCGCCGGGTGCAAGATAGGGCCCTTAATGCTTCAGCATACCAAGACATTTTGGGCAATTTCATGCTCCCAACTTTGTGGGAACAGTTTGGGGAGGGTCCCGTCCTGTTCCAACATGACTGCGCACCAGTGCACAAAGCAATATCCATAAAGACATGGATGAGCGAGTTTGGTGTGGAGGAACTTGACTGGTCTGCACAGAGTCCTGACCTCAACCTGATAGAACACCTTTGGGATGAATTAGGGCGGAGATTAAAGTTCATGTGCATGTAAAGGCAGATGTTCCAAAACTTTTGGCAATATAGTGTATGTGTAATGGAGTCCACTTGCAGAAGAACCCAAGCGCAGTTTATTTAAATCCAAACGTGAGCAAAATACAAAACAAAGACTTGTCATGATCCATTACAAACATGGAAACAACTTACCACACAGCAGTTACAGGGAAAATACTAGACAAATTCCCATGGCAAACATGAGGGCTTAAATACACGTCTAGTGACTAAACAAGCCACATCTGTGAACATAATCAAGACAAATAACCAATGGCAACATGAGTCATGACACAAGAGACCAGAGCCTTGTTCGACTTGAACCGGCGCTGCACAGGCCGATCGGTTTATGACATCAAAGTACCGCGAGAGATTCAAAAGCATATGTAGCCGTTTGCAGCGCCGGTTCAAGTCAAACAAGTCTTTAGGTAAGCACAAGGCAGAATCACAAGACAGGATACATGACTGTAACATGAAACATTAACCCAAAACAAAACTATACATTACAATATGTCTACAGTATATACAGTTTGGAAACATATTTTTAATGTTTTAGAAGCCTGCATTTATTTGATCAAAAATAAAGAAAAAAAATGTAACATTGTGAAATATTATTACAATTTAAAACAATGCTTTTCTTTTTTAAATATACTTTGATGGAAAAGCTGAATTCCCATCAGGCTCCAGTCTTCAGTGTCACATTATCCTTGTTTTAATCCTGATTGTTTTTAAATACATTTTGGAAACAGTTGTGCTGCTTAATATTTTCTTTTTATAACCTGTGATATTTTTTTAGGATTCTTTGATGAATAAAAAGAAAAAAGAAAAGAAAAAAAGAACAACATTTATTTAAAATAGAAATCTTTTGTAACAATATACGCTACTGTTCAAAAGTTTGGGGTCAGTCTTTTTTCTCTCTCTTTTTTCAAAAGAAATTAATACTTTTATCCAGCAAGGATCTGTTAAATTGATTAAAGGTGATAGTAAAGATTTATACAGTATCTTTAGAAAACTTTGTTTTTAACTTTTTATCATTTTTTTATTAACCCTTACATTATGGGTAAGGCTTCTGAATGTTCTCTGAACTTAATAAAAACACTGCTAACGTTTTGAGAACATTATTAAAGAGTATAAATTTGTGCTACCATTCTATTAATGTTACTAGAATTATGTTCTCAGTTCATAACTGAGAAAACCTTGCCAGAAGTTGGCCAAAGTTCAGAGAACCTTTCTTTCTTGTGAAGATGTCATGGTATAACATTAACTAGAGAGCTACATGAGACAAGTGTTGCAGGAGCGAGTGTGAAAAGAGCATGAGAAAGGACAACAACAAAGTGGTCCATGGAAACGCAACTATCAAAGATGCCATGCTCAACCCGCTAGCATTCATGCTAGTCTTTGCCACATCTTCTTATCTTAACCAAGGAGGTCAGGTCTATAATACCTGGAGAAAGCTATTTGTTAGCATCCATTACATTTGTGCAGATGTTTTTATCTAAAGCAACTTGCAGTGCATTGAATGTACATTTTATCAGTTCATGCTTTCCATAGGAAGTCCCAGTTTGTTTCGTTAAATTTAATTAAGGTTGGGAATCCAACTCTTAAAAAAAATTACAACTGGAGCTTGTTGATTTGATTTGATTTAATTTAATTTAATTGCCTCTATAATCCACTTGTTTCTTTCATGTGTTTACTGTGTTTCTGTAATCAAGTGTGTTTTGTGAGGATTGCATGATTGCAATTTACAACTTTAGTATATGGGAAATCTCTTTTGGACCACAGTCATTTTGGTCATCTCTCATTCAAAGTGCATTCTCGTTACTGTAAAAGCTGTAAATTGTGTGTATTTGTCTGACTGTCTGTTTATTTATTTCAAAAAGATCTATCTCTGTTGCCTAAGTTTGTTCCTTGCAAAGGTATCTATCTATCTATCTATCTATCTATCTATCTATCTATCTATCTATCTATCTATCTATCTATCTATCTATCTATCTATCTATCTATCTATCTATCTATCTATCTCAAGAAAGAGTGGTCCAGTGATTATGAAGCCCCTCCTGTTGTCTGTTGAGGACTTGACTGCAGCGGACTCTTGTAGAGATGTTATATCAGACGCTGCAGTACAGTCGCGCTGGAGTGAGTGTGTCCAACGCGCACCACTAACTGCTCATGGTGTGTTCTTCTGTTTTCAACGGCATCGTTTCATTCTCTCGGTCCGTTGGTGTGGTCGTAGCTTCATTTAATCGCGTTCTTTATCTCTCTTGGACAACAGATGTTTCTGACAAATGACAGCTGTGTGGATCATTACGCGGCGCGTATATTTTCTGTAACTTTTTTCCCAATTGCACTGATCCATGTCGAGCACGTTAATTTCTGGGAATTAATTAACATCATCTCTTCCCGCTGAAGAGCACACTTCACTTGTCCTCATGGATATTTATTCCTCTAAACTATCACCGGCTGTGGATTATGGAGTTGGGGCGTTCCTGCTGCTCATTGGTAAGATTGAGTTTCTGGATGTCCAACTTTTTTGGTAACCGATTCTGGTGCGTAATAACGAGTCTGTTTGAGACGGATTACTGAAATTCACATTTTACACAATTGACTCAAAAGGGATGTGTTATTCAGAAAACGAGTTTAGATTATCAATCGATGCTTAGCCTACTTTTATTTAGGAGAAACCGAGGTTAGTTGTCACACGCGAGAAGTTCTCATGAGGGCTAAATATATAGCCTATCTCAGCAAACACAAGGCTTTTAAACAACAACAACAACACAAACCCAACTACACAATTGCTTTTTTCTCTAGTAATGGCTTTGTTGTTAAACAGCGTTACTGAATTAGCTTCATTTTTGTGAATTTTCCCCTTTTTTTCAATTTCACTTTATTGTTGGAATGTTTTTTTCCCAAAGATTGTCTCGCATCCCACTGCGTTTACTGTCTCACATCAATTAATACATCACAATACACTAAACAACACAAAACAATAACACATGACTGGCTGCAGTGCATCAATTTAGTCATTTCTATGTTTTCAGAAACCAGAGGCCTACTTAGATCCCCAACTCAATTAAGTTAACGACTGGTGATCAAAAGATTTCCGTAATCTGTTCATTCCAGCATATTATGCTAAATCTTCTGTTTGATGGCAAAAGCTTATATTCCTCATATAAAATATGAGAAGGGTTAGAGATAATTTTACCTGCCAGAGACAACATTTTATTAGTATATAAATCTTGAAAACTTGACTCAAGCTCACAATCTTTGAACAAATACATAGCGCAGTCTAGCCAAGAGACAGCTTTCACCATGCACATGTTCCATATTGTATAACACTCTGTATTATAGATTAAAAAAACAATAGCAAGATCTGTTTATTTGCTCCAAATGACTTCAGTATCCTAAGAAAATAGTTACGTTGTACCTTACATCAAACATAATCTATATGTGCATTGGATATGTGCTCGACCCTTCTCATATTTTTCATTGCATGATTAAGCAGCATCCACATGCCCATTTACGACACTTGTATGTTATTGTGTTTGATTGATATTCACTGGAAGACCAGAAATCATTTCCTGTCTTCTTTCATTTATAATAAGTGAATTCCTTTCCCACCACTCCACTAATCTATCCATACAACACTGATGAATACTAGAATCATCTTCAATCCCTAATAAAGACAAAAGCACAGTCTCATCTGAAAACTTAAATATATATGTTTATGATATCGGTTTTACAGTTGTCTGTATAAAAAGGAAAGATGTGCTCATCCAACCTGAGGCGCTCCTGAATAAGAAACAAGTTGAATTTTTCTGATTGATTCTAACTTATACCTGTCAAAAATGAGTAGTACCAATCAATCAGTATTAGAGTTACCACTGCATCCTCTGTACTGCGATTTTGCTTATACGCAAACTAATAAGTGTCTAATTTACCCTCTGACTTTAAAATCTGTTTTGCCACTTCTTTCTTTGGAAAAGGTATACCGGTATACATTCCAGGAATGATATGAGTGTCTAAAGAACATGATCATTATGTCTTTTGGGCTATAGAAGTGAACAAACAATTAAAAATCATACTATACATTTAATCAAGAATCAACTATAGCCAATATGACAAATGTGGATTTATTAGGGTGTTTTTTCAAAAATATCAAATTGAAGCGGTCACATTTAAGTAATTTTCTAAATTTATGCAATTTTTAATCTATTAAAATATATTTTTGTCCAAAACAATGGTTGTAGTGATATTTGTGTATGTTAAATTTACACTTTTGCTGTTTCATAGTTGTTTTGCTCTTTATATTTTCTTGCAGGTTCCATTGTGACAACATTCCCCAATATGGTGTGTTCAATGAACTTTCCTTTTTTTTCTGAGCAGTAAGGGTTGTTCAATTGCTTTAAAGTATGATTTTACGCAGAAATTGATTTGCTATTAAAAGTGTAACTATCCCCAGTCCACCCTATTTGTGAACCGATAAATGCCTGCATCCTCTCCTTCAATCCCATCCTTCGTCATCGGCATCACTCAGTCATTTAAATGACGTTTTATTACAGTTTTTCTCAGTCGCTTTGGTACATTTCTCGAATCATCCTCGAAATTTGCAAAACAGTAAGTTCATTTCTCAAAACAATTCGTACAAATAGCAAAACACCATGGATTAGCTGCAAAATCCTTAGTTCATCTCTCAAAAGTAAATATCTGTCAATGAACATGTCAGTGCCGTCAGAATGACAAGTCCTTTTGTCATTGTGTACGGATAAGACAGTCAAATTACTTAGTCACGTTGTCAATATAACAGTGTACTCTGGAGGGATGTTCTGATGTAAACTATGCATGGATAAAGTTTTGATGACAATTATTGTAAATTGTAGGTTACACGTAGTGTATGTTAGTGTATGTGGGAGTTTGATTGCAAGAGACTGGACAAGATTCACATTTACGCTTTTACTGTTTGTACTGTAATTTGTTGACAGACCGTGTCATTGCAATACAGAAAGGAAAGAAAGCACTGCATTGCACAAAGAAAAAAAACGTAGAAATGTGAACATAGGGCAATCTCCTTAGGGAAAACAGTACATGCATATTATGACAACTTGTTCAACCATTTTGCATGCAAAGACTACTAATGCCTAAATGTTGTGGGGGGTGAGACTATTCAACAGAGACCCATTATAATACATTTTGATCAAAATGACATAAGCAATTGATAATGTAGGAAATAGAGAATTGTACGTAATCATTTGGATGGATGTACCAAAGCATTTCCAACTTGTTCAAAGAAATGAGAAACTGCTTTTTTGATGTGCACAAGTGACTCAATGATGTGAAGATTGAACAGGTTTTGAGAATTTCAATTCTGATCTGAGAAATGTACCAAAGCGACTGAGAAAAACTGTAACAAAGTTCGGGTGGAGCACATTCAGATAATTAACACGAGTGGAGAGCACTCAGCAATCAACGATAAGAGGTGTATATATATTCAGCAGTCTCGCCTCAATCCATTGACAGTTTAGCAGCATCCCTCCACCAACCCTTCTCCACTCTTCTAGTCCTAACCATTTACATACGGGAGGGGGGAGTACTCTGGGTTCGGGCCGAACACCGAGCACGGAGCCCTTCCCCCGGACAGCACGCCAAATACGCATTCAACTTTACTCCCTCAAATTGTATGTAAGTGTGAACTCGTGAATTCACTCAGTCATGTAGTATTTATATAGAAAATCTGAGTCGTGTCATGAATTTCGAGAGGCGAGAGAAAATTAATCAATTTATGAAATTAATTCAATTCAGCTATAAAGCAGCTCTACAGTGGGCAATTATTCAGCTCAATTCAGTTCAAGGTTAATTTAATTCTCTTCAATTACAAGATTTGCCGATTTGACCTCCAGGTCACCAAAGCAGATGACATTTCAAGTCTTGAGTCTTTTCATGCCTCAAAGTCCGCACACTTCAGAAAATTGTGTTGTAAATTACATATTGAGACATCACAAATAGAAATTCAGGTGCTTTCACGCTGATTTGGCTGTCGCCTCTCATTCGGCTGCTTTTAGAAATGCCTGTGGATGTTGACGCAGTCGTTGATACCCCACATCATTTTTCAGGTCTTTGCAACTGGGGACATTTAATCTCCTCAATACATGTCACAGCAAACTGCAGGTGTTTGGTAAATCCTTGGGAGCATTGAACCTATTGGCAAGCTGGGGATATTAATGGGTAAAGCTGATGGCTTATAACTTATACACACTTTACCCATAAGCCTCTGTTGAATGAAGGTCCTCTGTTCCCTAAACAAGTTTGTTCCTTGCAAAGGAAGCTGTTGTTAATTTTGCTGGAGCAGATGTAGGTATTCTGGATTTTTTTTTTCGCCGCAGGGAGATCTATTAATTTATCCTAGAATCTTGCGTGTAATTCTTTTTAAAGTATGACTACAGATGGCTCGTATTTAATGTAATCCACATACTCAGCGGTCATCCTACTGGATGAAGGATTTCACCAGCACAGCACAGATCAAACCTGATAATGCTAGTAAAATTTAACATTCAGCAAATTAAAATAGTGTTGTTGTGGAGTGGAGTTGGTCATGGGTTTGATTCTGCATGAAGTGTTTACAATATTCCTTGAATGCAATAAAAGTCGCTTTGGATAAAAGTATCTGCCAAATGCACACAGTAAATGTAAGTCCCACAGCTATTGTATATTATAATGCAGTCTAAAGCTCCAGTTTGATTATGAATGGAACAGACCTGTATAATTTGGCGATAAAGCACCTCGACATCTCGGTGTGAAACTGTACATGGCTGAAGGGCACAACAGGAAGGTTATCAAAGAGTCAAGATGACATACTGTTGGTTGCTGAGATTAAAGAAAGGCGAAGACACAAAGAAAGGACACAAGAGACTGTTTGAAGATGAGGTTACATAAGACTGCAGAAGAATTCGTCTGGGATTTGCCCCTAACATTAAACAAAACACAATATACAATACATGATGTTTTATTAACAAAGTTCGGGAGGAGCACGTTCAGATAATTAAACCTAATTAAACACACGTGGAGCACATTCAGATAATCAAACCTAATTAGACACGAGTGGTGCTTAATCAACGAGTTAAGCGCTGTGTATATATACAGCAAACTTACCTCCGTTCATTGACAGTTTAACAGCATTTGGCCCCGCAGTACCTTCCTAACATGCCCGAATCGAGCGCTTCCCGTTTGATGAAGAATCTTTCGTCCTTCAGGATTAGGAATCTTTGCCACAATCCTCTGGTATTATCTCGTGGGCGTCAGGCCAAACAAATGGGTCCTCGCCACCGCGGGCGAAACATCAGCAATCTACTTCCGCGTATTTCTTTAAACTGTCCCATTCAATAATTCCTGCCATAGAGAAATGGTCATAAGGCAATGCCGCCCTCTTAATTCGAAGGAACGGGTCTTCCTCCAGCGTCAGGCCGCCCCAGCAGGCCCTAAGTAAGCCGCGCTGCAGATTCAGTCCC